TACAGACGGCGGCAGTCGCAATACATTGATAATGACTATGGCATAGATGATGCATTCCACAGCCAAGGCGCACCGCTTCTCTGTCCCGACAGGTGTCACACGAGAGTGGGTCAATAATCCAGAATGAAGTATGATTCGACAATGCGCGCAAAAATTCATTTACGTTGAAAATAGCCTGCCTGACTCGTCGTCCCACCATCCCACAGTTCCCACTGGGCAGCTGCACGAACGAGTGCCATATAATGCCCGGGTCTGTGTAAAATACAGGCAGAAATATGAGGATCGCTATTGAGGTCATCGCCTGGCGTCGCATGATGCATAAGAAGGTGGCGGCCGTGGACCGCTAACTGTAAGACATTTACAGTAAAGCCTCCTGAGGTACTATAGTTATTTCCTTCAGGAGGTGGACTGTTATGGTCATACAACAACTGATTTGCAACAGCGTCAAGCTGATAAGCAATCGTAACAAATTGGGATGCAATATAACATTGACGCTGATAAGCCTGTTGGCAGACATTTGTGGCTGTCAAACCACAAACATTTGGTAAGTCTGCCCGCAGAGCCGAATCGGTCACCACTGAAAAGCCAGATCTGATCTGGCGGGGTCGGCGCGTAAACGACGAACGCCGTCGACGTGGCAGAGCAGGCTGCCCGTAAGACAAAGAACGCCGCAGATTAGCATCAACACGACGTCGAGGACGAGGGGGACTGGGAGGAGGAGCGAATGAACGAGCCTGCCGACGTCCCAATATGGACAACGAAGATAAGGGAGGGTTACGTCTCGGCCGGCGTGGGGAAGAGGAAGAAGAAGAAGAAGAAGAAGAAGAAGAAGAAGAAGAGGAAGAAGAAGAAGAGGAAGAAGAAGAGGAAGAAGAAGAAGAGGAAGAAGAAGAGGAAGAAGAAGAGGAAGAAGAAGAAGAGGAAGAAGAAGAGGAAGAAGAAGAGGAAGAGGAAGGGAAAGAAGAAGAAGAGGAAGAAGGAGGAGATGCCACCGAAGAAGAGGATGCAGGCAATGAGGGAGGAGAAGAAGAGGGAAGGGGAGAGGGAGAGGAAGGCAGAGGGGAAGCGGAAGGGGAAGGAGAGGGACAAGATGGGGGAAG